ATAGATGATTTAAAAAAGCATGAAAACTGGGTATTTATTGACTTAAGATTTGGTACAGGCTTCGGAAATTTTACTAATTCTAAATTATTAGAGGGCTATTCTGCAAATTACACATGACAACATCTATAGAAATACCTTACTTGTTCCGTACACCCGGACTTTTCAGAGACTATCTTGATTTGGGGTCATAATTTCACTGTTTTACAACTTGTTATAAGAGTTTTCAACATTTTTATTTCTGCTAGCAGCCGTACAAATTTCGAATAGCAACATTGAACGCGGTTTTGTTCCGATAGCAGCCGTTTAGGTACTACACCGTGTGTTAAGGAAAGTGTTCATCAGAAGTACTGTATTCCACCTTGTACCATATTAATCATTTATATAATTATTCTTTGTTCAGACTTGTCAAAATCCGTCGGTCCTGTCGGCAAGGCCGGTTAAAATTTGTCTGGACCAATATTCAAGAAAACGTCGGTCCAGATGACTGTTTGAAAGAAATTGAGCGTAATGCAAATTTAATAAAGGTTGGGATCGGGATGCGTAATTAAAGGTCACAAACCCAGAAAAAATGGCCGTGTACACAGCATGTTGACGATAGCTAAGTAAATTTGTTATAGCAAAGTCATAAAACTTGTCATTAATGTCTATGTAAAAGACTGTATCCCAAGAAAGGAAACTTGATAGATTGAAGGCTATTGAAAATAATAAAGTACATTTTGGTGCTGTTATTCATATGACTTTTTCAGCTTGAAAATAAAGGTACAAGTATCTGGTCTGACAAAAGTTTGACTGGTCCGACAGACCAAATGTCTGACAGTAAGTAAAAAATTTCGACAAGTCTGTTGTTGTGCATACCAAATGTAAAATCTAGACCAGTGTTTGAAATAACCATGCACCCAACTGCCATACATGCCAACTTTCCCGATTTAGGCGGGATTCTCCCGATTTTACCCTTTCATCCCGCCTTCCTGATCGGGAAAGAAAAATTGCCCCAATTTCCCGCTTTGAAAAAATTCAGATTTTCAGTTTCCCTACCGCCGAAATTTGTCAATCGGGATAAGAATATCAGAGTTGTTTATTCAATGCACACAGATAAGTCTCGTTGTTTATTTAGTATGCAGAGTTAATTAGCCACAGGAAATCACTTCTCGCTTCAACGCACACGCTGCTGTCCAGGTACAGGTAGCTTATAGCCTGGAGCATTTAGGGGGTTAATCTTTTCAGTTTGAAGGGGTATGCGAAGTGAAACATATAGATTAAGGGCTTAATTATTAGTTATTGTATTAAAAACAAAAATTAAAGTCAATAAAATGATAATCAAACAATAAAATTGGAATCCAAGAAGATCGTTTTTTTTGAAAACGAAAGTAGAAAATTTCAAAGCATATATAGCTGTTGATTTTAACTGCTAATAATAAAAACATTGTATAGTTTGTCAATTAAAAAAAAATATTGAAAATAATATAGATTAAATAATACTCTCATGTTAAGTACACTAAATTTCTCTCCCCCCCCCATTCTTCCATAGATCATACTCATATTGTACATTGTATTTCTTTGTTACATATATGTCAAGGAAATACCAGAGACCCATATGGCATTGCCAAGACTGCAAAAGTTCATCATGTTCATGATGTAGTCTTTTACCATTTTAATTTTTCTTTGGGATGGGTGGGGGTGGGGATAATGTGTTAAAAAATTCATGATTTAATTAGGCCTATTTCTTCAAATTGTTTAGTGTGTGAGATAAAAATAATCATGCACTGTCTATATACTTACTTATAGGAAATAAAGTGACACTTGTTTTAAGGGTACATACCAGAAACAAAATGTAAATTGATAGAACAGAGTGACAACTATTAAGTAAAGATATTTAAATTTGGAAAAATAAAACTTTAATTTGTATTGTTTTTTTTGTGCTGTATTAATAAGTGCTATCAATATTATAATTTTGAAAAAGTATTTCATAATCATTTATTTTCACGACAAAATGTCGCGAATTTAAAGCTTTGAAAATTGTCGTCACGCTCAAAATCCCCCATGGGAATTTTCAAAAGTTGGCATGTATGAACTGCCCTTGTCGTTGGTGAACAAACTTGCATGCATCAACACCCAGCTAGACGTGAAATATTTTCCATACATTAAAATTTAGATTTTATCTCTTGTATTGGCAGCAAAGTGTAATAAGCAAACAGATAGAATTCATCAGCCTATAGGTTCGGGATCAGAGATATGGTGATTTTGCCCATTTCAAATCAGTGCCAAAAATTTTCTTTTATAGAAGATAAATATTTTCTCGGGCTAATTGATTTTTGGCAGGGCTGACAACTTTTACTAGGAGTCAGCCCTGGATGTCTAGTTTATTTTACGGAGATATTGAAACACTGTTTAGACCCTTAAAAGGACATGGTAAGGTTAATCATTATAGTGCTCTCAATTTATTCATTTTAAGGTCAAAAGTTTAGACTTAAGTCAGCCCTGTTAGATTGAAGACATATAGATGTAAAAGATACCAAACTTAAAACTGTAAAACAGCCTATAAATGCATATGCATCTATGATAAAATAGATTACCTTCTTTTTGGCCTTTCCGCCACCTCCTTCCTTCTTCTTGGCGGGGGCTTTCCCACCCTTTGCCCCTGCTTTGGGGTCAGGTTTCTTGGCTCCCTACAAATATACATGTAAAAAATATCAGTCGTACTCTGAATTTTTTAGTCAACATGAATCATGCTCATATACCTTATGAATCCAAATAAACTGGACCTGTAAATAACTTTATCAGGGAAAATCATTTCCAATCATATGCCTTAAAATTCCTTCATCATTGGTAAAATTATAATATCAAGTCTGGCTTTTTCAGCAGCAGCCAAACTCCTTTTGTATTCTTCATTATCATTTCAGGGCAGATCCGCTCTGATTTGCTACATTGCGAATAATAGAAAGTATATGGTATGTATTCTAACTGTAGTGGGGGCTTGTTCCAAGACAAGTAAGATTATTCTAACTATGTAGCTATCAGTTTTTTTTTGTCCGAATTTTCTCAAGCAGAGAATTACAGCTCTGCAGCTAAAAATTACATACAGAATTTAGAAATATGTATCAGGTTGGGCACAGCCTACCATTTGGTACTTTATCCCCCGTTTGGTAGATAATCTACAATATCGGTAACGAATTTTACTAACCAAATGGGGGACTTTTTTATTCTATTGCAATTTTTATTAAAATAAAACAAAAGCGCATTTATTCAGGCAATGGGGGATTTTAGTGAATATATTCCTCTTACAATTAACATAAATCGGTCGAATTTCTATGTGTAATTTCTCCGTAACTTCGTAAAAACAATACCCGTAGTTGTATGTAACAGCCGAACTTCTTGATCAAACGATAAAAAAAATCTTTATTGTGTCTTGTTGGATAAAAATCCAATTTTATACAGTGATTTAACTCTTGATGAGTTAACTTTCAATCTCTTTTTGGATCTTCGTCATTGTTTATCTCCATAAAATCCTGTTAAACACGAGCTCCTCATGCCTTACCGGTATGGTGGGCACTTCCTGCTATAAAGTTATTTTTTTCCAGAGTTGTACGTAATATTTGTTGTTATTTTTCTTTTAGGATGAAGTTGCAGATTCTATGCGATCTTTTGGGGTTTAATATGCATATTACTGGTGAATTTAATAAATTCGAAAAATAATATTCAATAAAAGATGTACAAAATGGCTTTTGCCATTATTCTTGTTTTTGTTCCAAGTACATCGTTTTAAAACAATAATTATGTCATACTCTAACTGCATTTACTATTTCTATGAAGAACAAAGCCATTGTGTTCAAAATAAAAAGAAATGAAGGCAAAAGTTATTTTTCTTCTGATTTCCTTGTTGAAAATTAACACAAATGTGCCTCCGTAGTTAAATCCGACTTTTCATCAGGTTTAAAAAAGATCATCGTTTTGATTGGTTTGCACTAATTGATTGGTTGCCCGGATAATCGAAATAGAAAGTAAAGGACATGATTGACAGGTGCAGCATCGTTGGAGAAGGAGGGAATTTTCTTTTAAAGTAAAAAACGGAGAAACATTACACTTGTTTACATAAGCTACGTTTTTTGTCAAATTTTTGAACGACTCTGCGCAAAAAATTGCACATAAAATTTTTGATTTTTTTCACCCAGAACACCGATAAATATCTATATTTTATTCCACATGGTTTAAAATTATGCGAAGGTCCACTCCACTCTATGGAATTAAACACAACCAATTTTGTCCCCCATTTGGTTAGTAAAATTCGTTACCGATATGGTAGATTATCTACCAAACGGGGGATAAAGTACCATTTGGTAGGCTGTGCCCAACCTGTGTATTTTAGTATAGTCTACTTGGGGGCTAAGTTATTTTGTCACTGGACCAAAACTGGAGGAATGCATTCAATAACATTCGTATATATAACATTCAATTCATTAAACTTATTAATTCATTACTGTCATGATACATTTTAAGTTTTGATTGTGACCATAAAATGCAGATATGCATATTCATTATCCCCCCTTTTTCCATGTCACTAAACATAGAACTCGACGGTTAAAATTGATGCGTTTGGATCTTTTTCAATACGAAATGTATAAATTACTCTTTAATATTGCCAAAGAAAATACTTTGGGGAATAAAGAAAAGAATTATCAGGCAAGATTGGGTCTCAATTTGACATACCATGCTACTAGTTGAGAACCACGTGAAAAAGAGGCCAAATGAGCCCCACAATGCAATAGCCTTTTTTCCGGGTCCTTATATCATTACAAAAAAAGTTTCCTCTAACAGCACTTTTGAAGTAAAAATAAAAATGTCTCATAATATAGTATTGTAATTTTCAATGAATTCTACTCTGTCAAAAACGATAATTGAATTCCTTTTATTACTTTTAGTTATTTACAAAAATCTATTTTTATTGATACAAGCAACATGCGCAGAAATTCTGCGTAGTTTTTACCATAACAAAGAAGGAGGATAAGGAGATAGCTGAAAAATTTCATATTCAAATAAACCATACATATATCACTGATTAAAATCGTACAGCTGCACGACTATTTCATCCATTATGGTTGAATGACACGACTGAAGTCAAAGAATGGCCGATTCTACGAAAGAAATAATCAATGGAATAATTCAAGGATTTAGAGATAGCATTTTAGGTAAGATTTTTTTCTCCAGGCATCATCATTAGTATCGGAAAATACTCAAAGCAATTAAGTACATGCAAGTATTCGATTGTAAATTATTTGAAATTTAACAACTAGTCCACTTCAGAATTCTTTACTTGAGTCAAACTCAAAGTGTTGTCATCAGTATATCAGTATATAATATAACATGTAACTAGTTATAAATTAGAAAATAAGATGGATGTGTTCAGCAGTTGAGTTTTATAATACTGAAAAGATGAAAGCGCTTCACTGTAAAAGTAAAGTCTAATTGTTTTTAATGCCAAATCTATTAGCAGTTTCTGCTGTCATTTTTTCTACAAACTTAACTGAGATAACATGTTTTAAGATCACATGTTTTATTATTACCTAACCTACTATATAAAATGTAATTAGGCATTTTGAACTGTTTCACGATTCATTTTATGTTTTTGCGTGATCATGAAACAGTCGAACTGTTGACCGGGCCGCAGAATGAACTGTTGCCCGTTTAAAGCGTCATCGTGATATTCAAGCGTTTTGATGATCATGACATCATTATTTACCTGCTATATAATTAACTAAATTGGAATAAAACACTCAAACAATCAATTTATTAAGTATTAATTAAAATTATTAAATATTAATTTAATCTTTATTAACATTTTATGTTCAGCTATTTAATAGACTGGTATGTGAATAAATAGTTGTTAAAACTCTTTTCTGATTGTTTGTGTGTTTTTATTCCAATTTGGTTAATTATGTAGTAGGTTAGGTAATAAAACACTTATTTAATGACTACTTGCATCGTCGGAAACCCACGGGTGATCTCGTCTCTACTTATCACCCGTGGGCCAACTCGCCGAAAAATCATCGTATGTAATTAAATATGCATGAATCATTTGATTGGCCGCATTACAGAGTCGCGATGCGCAACAACGAATCACAGTTCACGTTACGTATGCAAGTTCGGCATTGCCAAAAACATGAAAAACTCATTCCGTAGTTAACGCAGCTGATAAATCCACTCACCGGTGCATTTTGCAGTTAGAAAGAGGTACTCCTTCATAATATCTGACGGATATTAATGTCAGTGACCTGTACGAATTGATTTTCATTGTTTTAAATCAAACTTCGCACGTTTTAACGAGCGTCAAAATATTTACCATAAATAGCAAAGTAATAAACGTATTTTTCAAAATTGAAGAGTTCCAACTTTCTGATTGGTTGACTAAAAACAACAAATTAGCATATTTTACGGCGATATTTCGGCGAGTTGGCCCACGGGTGATAAGTAAAGACGAGATCACCCGTGGGTTTCCGACGATGGACTACTTGGTGAAAAAGTCAAACTATTGTCCCTCGGTAGTGGGGAAGACCTGGGAATCTGTTGCCCTTGGCCTTCGGCCTCGGACAACGGTTTCCCAGGTCTTCCCCACTACCGAGGGACAATAATTTTACTGTTTACCTCGTAGTCATTAAATAAGTGTATACTGTTAGCACTATTATTCTAACTTGTACGAGAGAGGAGAAAGTCTGAATCTCTAGCAAGGTGTTCTTCTGAGTTATCTGGGGACTGAACCTATCTGAGACATTTCTTCCTCCTTCAAAGTCTTTGGCCCCAAAGACACTGATCCATACTCTACCAGAGTAGATCTTTCACTTCTCACTTTTTGGGCACAGTACCAAATATCCTTTTTTATGACTTACTGAGCATATTCTAGAGATAAACATACAAAATTGTACATACTGATGTTACAAGAAATTTGTGACCTTTTTCATGTTTAATGTGGCCTAATTTCTGAACTTGATAAGTTGATATGTTCTCTCTAAGTAGCTGTGACAACTTTAACAACCATATATATCTATATTTTGACGTCATGCAGTTATCATGAGTGATGATTGATGAATACTTTTGTCCAATGACTGTACCTTACCAGGGGGAGGGGGGCTGTTATAAACTGATCAACTCTCCATCATTGTTCCAAATACCTTTTGCTGCTATGGATAGAAACAAAGAAGAAAAAAAATCAATTAAAATTAAAACTGTTGCATCTTTAAGATTCAAATATATACATGTACTGATTTTTTTCCAGGTATATTGAAAATATTTAGATATGAAGCAGCTGATGCAAATATTGGTGGTGAGCAAAAGAAAGTCGAACCCAAGACAACTCTTGCACGTCGGAGAGCAGAAAAGCAAAAATTAAAGGGAAACTTGGAGAATAAAGAAACTAAAAAGTAAATATAAAGTTGATATGAAGGTCAAAGTTAGCTATTAAAGGATGTGAAAGTTAATTTCATGTTGTCAAATCTTGGAATTTTAATAATTAATCTTATTTTATCTGAATGTTAGCTATTCTGACATGTTGCCTATTGTGATGAAACCTTGAAATCCTTCCCAGTAAATTCGATTGATAAATCCAGAATATTGTTTAATCCACCAGATTGTTTAGATCGGTGGTGTTCAAATTTAAAAAGCAATATCACCATGTAAACACCACCAAAAAGTACTGCTGTCTGGAACAGTCGTATACATTTTTAAACGTACAAATGTATATTTTACAGGGACCCCACTGTAAAGCAGAGACTTTTCCAATGTTCTTTATGGAATGGAGGTGTATTTTTGGTAAGTTGTTTTGATTAAATACGGAGTTAACAAACATCTGTGACAGATTTTAAATATCTTAGCATAATAATAAAAATACTGGTATAAATAGACCAGAGGCTGTAATGAAAACTACAAAATTCATGTGACATTGAATTAAGGTCATAGCATATCCTTTGGTCATATGTAACTTTCATAGTGAAAGTGAGCTGCTGTTTTTATTTTTAAATAATACACACAGACCTGACTACCCTCCCACTTTTGGCATAATTCTTCCGCTTTTTACCACAAAATTACGCTATTACGCCACTGATATTAATTTTACGCTTTTGATATTTGCTTTAAAATCCATTATGAACGTCTGAATTTAGAGTCAAAGTACGACCCGCTGAAATGAATGAGAAGTTTTTAGTAAAAGTAATTAATAGAGGACCAGTTCAGTAACGTACGTACATGTAATATACCTAGAAGTTATATGTACCTGTAAACTGGTATGGAGAAGATTCGGAAGAACACGAGAAGTCACTACTTACGTTAACTATAAAATGATATTGCGATAAGTACAGCCATTTCTATGCTCAATTTAGTTTATTATACCCCCCGCTTGAAAAGTGGGAGGGTATATAGTGATCGGTATTTCCGTCTGTCTGTCTGTCCGTTTGTCTGTTACGCTTTATCTCTTATCCACAACTCCTCTCATACTACTGAGTGAAGTTTAATGAAACTTTCACAGAATCTTTATTACATATTGCCATTGTGCACCTCCTATTTTACTTTTTTGTTCGACACATATTTTAAGTTTCCCATAGCAAAACATGGACATTACCATTATATGTTTACCTATGACGTCACATATAGAAGCTTCTGGATAACATTTGATAGGACGAGTTATTCCTCTTTACACATTACCGTAAAACAATATATAGCAACGCATGGACATTATGGGAGGCGGGGGTATCATTTATTTAGCTCATTGCTCACAGTACCTCTAGTTTTAACATTGCTTAGAACAAGATAGAGAAACATGAGGGTTAAAAAGAGAAAATACCGTGCTATTATGTACGATTTGTGCAGACATGCAAACGCAAGCCTTTAACAATGAGATTTGATACAAATTGACCAAATTCTTCATTAAGGGTGTGTGTTTGATTTGAGTTTAATATAGGAAGCTGGTATTTTACAACAATTTTTTGCCAATAGATGATTAGAAGAAGAAAGGTTAATGCCAACTTTGTCTAGTATTATCCAATTGTAGTTGTTTTGAAAGAAAATAAAGTATTGCAGTAAAACAACAAAATAGGAAAACATGATTGATCACGCCTTAACCTCTGAAATTCCACCAAAAATTTACTGAAATTACACCCTTGCAATGAAAAGGGTAGGCAGGTCTGTACACAATTGATTGAAGACTATAACAGCTTTAGAAATTTACTACTAGTATAACTGAAGATTCAAGATAGTTGTTTATTTTAGTTGTAAATTTGTCAATGTTTGGACCATAGTGAAGTTTGCTGCTTTAAATTTTATGAGAATTCTACAAAGTTTCTTCAAAAATATATTTTCACTTTAGCATACCCATCTTACTGTTGTTATTTCTTTCTAGATGAGTATTATATTATTCCACTGGGCCTTACTACCATGTTTGCTGTGGTTTACAGAGTTGATATTTGGTGAGTCCCCATGGAGTTCAATGTATGGCGTGGCTGTCACTCAGTATTAAATTTGTTTTAATTATAAGTTCTTAAAATGTTGTTGACATCATACAGGTATTGTTGATTTCTTTTTCAGTGGAAATAAAGTTTAATTTACTGGTATATAGAATTTAAAACACATATCAAGTATGAAATGTCAAAGATGTTTAATTGTAAATGTTGATACATGATAGGGGAAGACCATTCATGAAAAATTAAGCCTTAATTGAACAGGATAAATGAAGAGTTTTTACCCTGACACATGAGAAGTAGAGAAGTAATAATTCTTACATGTATCTGTTGTAGCTGGATCAGAAAACATTCATGTGACCTGGCTCTGGATCAGCTCCATCTTGTCCTGGATTTTCGGAGCTCTCTGGATTTTACCTTTATTTGCCATCAGTAAGATTGTTAACTGCATGTGGTTTCAGGTTTGTATTAGCATTTTTTTCCTAAGCCACATAATAAATGTACAGTTTATTTGTACTTAATGATAAAAAAAAATATTGTAAGTGGTATGTGTTCATTTTACAATTTGCAGGATATTGCAGATGCAGCGTACATTAAATCAAGGGGTCGTCCAACTCCAATAAATCTGAGTGTATTGGTGGCTGATCTACTTTTCAGTGTTTTGCTCCAGGCATTCTTCCTAATCCAGGTAACTTTCCAAATTTATCATGTGCAAAATAACAGAGTAACAGCAAACAGTGAAGAAATAAGTGATGCATGTCCAAGGTACAGTAGGGGGGGGGGGGGTGTTACAAATAACTGACACATATTCTTAATCCAAATATATTGTTACATGTTTATTCAAAAATAAATTCAGTAATTTTCATTTTGTGACATTTTAGATTGTGCATTTCAATTTTTTAATGCTGTTTATATGTTCAAGTGTTTAAAATTAATAAAATAAAACAGATAAATTTATTTGTAATTTTTAATTGTAGAGTACTTTGGCCACATTTCTACCTATCCCTGGGATTGGTTATATGGTGGGCTTTCTTCACATGACCCTTCTCTATTCTCTGTATGCGTTTGAGTACAAATGGTTTAATATGGGTAAGCAATGTGTTATCCATAATTCCATATCACATGAATATTTTAAAATTTTTTCTTCATTCCAGATCAGTGCAATGAAAATAGTAAACTATTATATAAATTACAACATTAATTCTGAAAAATAAAAGATAAACCTAAGCCATTTTTGTTAATAAAATGAGCCGTTGCTGTCATTTGATCTCTGATTTTCTTGTCTCTAAACCTTAGGCTGGGAGGTACACAAGCGTCTAGCCTACATTGAGTCATACTGGCCCTACTTCTTTGGGTTCGGTATTCCTTTGGCCTTTTTAACGTCCATGTCATCCTCTGTGATCATAAGGTACAAAATTTTATCAGCAAATTATTAATATTTATAGGTAAATCCAATAAAAATTTACAGGTAAATGTTAATGTATAATGATGTCTTGGTAAATAAAATATAGAACAGAAGTATTGAAGATATTCTGTTTTGAATGCAATAAAATTATATGGTGGTGGTAATTATAACACATTGCAATCAGTAATGCATGGCAATGTTTATGTACTGTCCTTTTTTTCATGTTGTTTTCATTCTTTTAGTGGTTGCATTTTCTCCATACTCTTCCCGTTGTTCATTCTGAGTGCCAATGATGCAGATGAAAATTCACAAATCTGGTATGTCATTTCCATTCCATCATTTTTGAATTGTAGCTAAGGTTGACTGTAAGACAAATGTTTTCCCTTTTGTTTTATGCTCCCTGTAAAGAATTGCGGAAGAACAAATGCTATACTCCTGATGTGGACATTGACATTACTGTTTTAGGTTAATCATAATGTTTTAGAGCATGTTCTGAGGTATTAACTACAATCCCTTCAAGGATCAAACTTGCTTGAATGATGCATCAATAAATGCAAGCTATACACTTTACATATTCAGATTGATACTTTCTGACTAAATGTATGTTTGATGCATCTATATTTGCACACCAGTTACTTGTTCCAAACTTTGGAATAGAGATTGGAGGCCTGTTCAACTGGGGAATGCTCGTGAACATTTCTATTTGATGTATAAGAGATTTTGGCAAGCGCTCGTGAACGTTCGCTCTCTTGAACAGGTAAATGTTTTTGAAACAGGTACATTCCCAGATAGCTACAAGCTTTACATTGATCAAACTTGGATGATATTTCTAAAAAAAAATACTATCAGCCATACTTCACATGCTGCATCTGACCTATATTTTCATATGTGAAAAGTCAGAACAAAATTTTTGGAGATGGTTTCCTCCTTAAGTAGAATTAGGCCTATAAGGATAGTACTTACATAGAAGGTGCATGTAGGGAGGTATAGCACAAGATATGCTGAATCTTACCTGTATATCTTGGGACAAATAGCCAGATCAATTCTTAAGAGCAGGTACCGGTAAATTCCCTATTAACTGTATAAGGACTTCTGGACCAGACTGAGCATGTAGCATATTTTAGGATTGCTTTGGATGCTACAAGTACTGGTAATCTTTGGACTTATTTTAGTCTATCAAAAGGCCTGTAGGTCAAAAGACTAAATACATGTACTACATGTACTAATATAAGGTTAATGAAGTTATATACATAAATAAGAATGTGAATTTATACATGTGAATATTGGCTATAGACCCTTTTCCTGTGACATAGTTAGCCAAGGAGTTATTCCCCTTAGTTGCCATCTTGTATGGCAAAGTAGTGAATTTTCCTCTTTGAGCAACCAATTTTAAACATGCTTGCAAGAAATATATGGGGGAAGTATTCACAATCTTAATATCATGAATTAATAGATGCTATAACAAACATATATTCATAAGAAAATTAGCATTATCTTTACCTCAGTAGCCGGTATAACAAATTGAACTTAGATGAATAATGAAGGGATCTGGGAATGTTGCCCTACAGTATGGCGGCTAAGGGGAATAACTCCTAGACAAAATATGTCATAGGAAAAGGGTCCATTCACCAATACAAGTTCAATATCTCAATTATTATTATTTTTAACAATTTCATTGAATAATTGAACATTATTTAATTTAACCTTGTTATTACATTCAAGGTGACCCTTTCAAGTTCTAATTCCTTATATTTCTTTTTGAAGCCATTCACCATTGAGACTTTTTGCACCAGTTGTGATGATAACAAATATTCTTTTTCGACAATCGGTGAAATCCAAAAGTACATCTATAAATACTCAACAGACCTCATCTCCCAGGAAACAGACACGCATCGCTGAACCACCAACCTATAGATGACAAAGTGAAAACTATGAACTTCTGAATACTAAGTATAATTAAGTGTTGTGGGAGTGAATGGTCAGAGACTTTTCATATATAATAATTATTTTATAATGACAAAGAATGTGGTGATATTATTTGAATGAAGAGACATTGTAAAAGGAGAATGGAATTTGTGAGAAAAGTAATTTTTAAAATGGGAATGATTATGGTACAAATGGACCAATTATGTGTATTGCAGTGTGCTTTGTTTGTGTATGAGTCTCTATAATTGTCAAAAATTGCATAATGATTTAATAAAAACACATTATCATTGCTTGTAATGGGATTCTGAAATACTTTGACTTTACAAATAGTATTTTTTTCTTTTTTTTTTTTTTTACAAATACAAATAGTATTTTAAAAATTTCAAAAGGCACTACATGTATACAGTAACTTCCTTTTTCTGCCTTGAATTTTAAAATTAGTAATAGCGAAAATTTTAAACAGTCCTGTGACTAACATTTATTTGAAACAATTTTTACTGAAAACAAAATCTTAATTCACAATTTGTCAATTTGAAAATATATTAAAAAAGTCTCGAATTTAGCAAATTCGCATAAAAACTTACACCTCAGTGAAAGCTAGTTTTCACTACTTTGTCCATTTAAGGAACCTAAATGTAACATAGAGGATACAGTTGTATGTCGTGATATGGTGTTTAAAGCCATATATGGCGTAACTGATCAAAAAAATATATTTTTGAAAAATACAAAATTAAGTTAAGAAATATAGTTAATACATTTAAATTAAAGCTTTCCATGCAATTCTGAACACGGAAAACACCTTGTTTCATCTAATAATACAATTTTATCCACTCTGTACTTACTTAGGCCTGTCGTTCTGTGAGGAACATAGGCCATCAACGACCGTCCTCCAACGAACACGATTTTGGGCTGCTCTGGCTGCATCGTGCCAGGTCATATTCTGTGTCCTTAGCTCCGACTCCGAGTCACGCCTCCAGGTGTTTCTAGGTCGTCCTCGTTTTCTTTTGCCCTGTGGGCTCTGTAATGTGTTATTTAAATCTTTTGTATTTTCTTCCGAGTCGGAGAAAATTCCGAGAATCCAAATTAAATTGTGATATCTTTGTAACGCAATTGACTTAGATTTTGTAATTTACGGAAAAGTTCTATATTTATATAAAGTAATGATACAAATAATAAGTTCTTATAATTTTAGTCTAATAATTTTCATTGTACATACGCCAAATATGGCTTTAATGGAGCATTGCATTGCATTGTTTCTCCTTATTACAGACTGCTCTCACAGCCCCGGTCCTTAGTATACCTGGTACCTGTTTTATCACTTGTCTACTTGAATCTTGAATATTACCGACATCTCATGTCTGGTAAAAAGAGCTTGATCTCATATTGGTAGAAACCGTCTCGCCATGAATGTGCTTTACACCAAATTCTTCACTTATTCGCGCTTCGTCTAAAGCATACATATTTCTTGCCGTTTGTTTTAAAATTCGTTTTGATCTTTCAGTGAGATCTTTATTTATTTCTTTAAAATCGTTATTTTTAAAAAACAATAAAAGAAAAGAAACGATAAATCGCCGAAAGATCGTTATTAAGATTAAGAGCACAAAAGAATGCTTGAAAAAGTTCAATCATTCTATCTCTGATTTTAGAACCCTAAGCTTCATTCAACATTATGAAGTAACGTTTTTCCCATAGATTCGTATTTATTAAGTTTCCCCCCTTTTATTTATTAAACACCACATTTCGATTTAGCTACTATATAATGCTTCAAACGGTATGTCATTTCTCTTCATAGCGATAGGTCTTATTTTGAATGCTTGTTATCGTGCGACCTTTTGACACTTGACTTGGGTCGTGTTGAGTAAAAACATGTTGAACAGAAATCTCTTATTTTCCCAAGGTACTGTAAAATTTTATTGATATTAAGAAATATCCGAATGTCATGGCAATTTACATGAACGGAGTCACACTTAATAGCTTTGTTTCAATACCGGCACTTCGTTCAATATGTTAACAAATATTTTTATCATTTATAACAGCTTGCGTTCATCGGAACCTTTTCAATTAGTGATGTCAATAAATAAAATAAATAAATATTTTATGTAAAGCCTGAAAAAATATTTTATCGAGTGAAAAAAATGTATTATCAAAGTTTTTTTTTATTATTATGCATGTATGTATTTTATAATTTCATCTAAAGATATTGCAAACAAAATTCTTTTATAATTTTTTTTTGTGCATGCACCAGTGAAATGACAGTAAATTTACATCTTTATCTTCTCAAGTTTTATATCATGTCTTTTAAAATATTCTTAAGATTTTTGGATCATTAATAATAACTTAGTAATGGTCTTCATTGATAACAATCCGTTATAGATAATGTAAAGGCGCTAAAAGCGTGTATATTAGCTTATTTCATAACGTTGACTATTTGTATTTCTCAGGTTCATAAAATCAGCAATTAATGAAAACACAAAAATATCTGTGAATTCACAAAGTAAATTTATTTAGCCACGGTATCTCTTTAAAGTTCAACTGAAGTCATTAAAGTTAATAATTTTATATGAAAACTATCAAATCTCCAATATACATACTGGAAAAGCGACTAGAAAAATCAACTTGGGATTTTCTCATTAAAAAATCAACAAATATTTTTTGGATAAAAATTTACAGGTACCCAGGCATTCAGAGAGATATGCGTGTATTTTATAAATTTATACCTATTCTGTATTTTAGTTTTACTATTTCATTCACTTGTTAAATAAAAAACTGTGTAAAAAGAAAAGAAAAGAAAGTGCTATCATTGCAAGACATATCACAAATCACTTAATTTCATATCATGCTAATAAGCATTTCTAAGATTAGATTAAAAAAGAAAGTCCTATTTCTGTAAAATTGTATTTTTTTCTTTTATAGGGAACACATTCTAACATTTTTTTTTACCTTTTCTTAGACCTTTAAGAGAACTTTGAATCATATTTAAAAGACGCCATCCTCACAGCATCAGGGGTTCTACATGTAAGTCATCACACTGCCGTTTGGAACGTTTTGACTCAGGACCTCTGATGTGTGATTAAGACGCATAAAATGAAAATTTTTGCATGAATAATTTCATTTTCAAGCTTCATGTTGAGACTTTTCAAAATCAAAAATAGTTTTAAGAATTATCCTTCCTGGCTGGGGATCGGATATCATTAAGTCACGCATCATGTGCTGGTCCATGTAGGCCATTGACATATGAGGCGCCGTTTTGGTATTTACTGCCAAAAAGTGACATCACCTTTTTGAATAGGTGATATCACATATTCAGTTGGTAATATCACCTATTCAGATTCTTTCAGTATGTTTTGGTATTTACTGGCAAAAAGTGATATCACCAATTCGAATAGACGATATCACCAATTCGAATAAGTGAAATTACCTAATCTAGTAGGTGCTATCACCTGTTTGATTTGAATCGGTGATATCACCTTTTCGATCGAATAGGTGTCATCACTTTTTCGAATACTCAGTAGGTGATTTCACGTATTCCTTTTGAATACTTTTGAATAATTCCTATTCGAATTAAAAATGTGATATCACTCATTCGAATAGATGATACGTTGTATCACATTATCATTTTGAATAGATGATATCACTCATTCGAATCGGTGACATCACTTTTTGCCAGTTAATACCAAAACGGCGCCTCATATTGACAGGACCCCCTTATGTTGGAATAGACTCATAACTGTATAATGTATTACTGTAGTTTTATTTGTAAAATATCACTTTTATGTGTTGCATTCTCCCGCTCGTATTTGTAAAATATCACTTTTATGTGTTGCATTCTCCCGCTCGTTTTGCTTAATTGCCGAACACTGGCGATTTAGAGCTAGATCCCTTCCTCCTTCGAAATAGGAATTTTGAGTTTAGACAGTTTTTGCTCATCAAATTTAGGAGGGGTATTCGACCCCCTCCCTTTCCCTATTTCGAAAAAAGTAGCAACGGGCCTGATATGTTAATCTTACATCGATATATGGTTGGAGAAGCTTCAAGGACTGGCGAGAAAACAATAATTTAAGACGGATTTGGTTGGTACAAAAACAGATATTACAAGTTAACATCCCTTGTAGTTCTCTTGGTAGCAGTTTTTGCGGCTGACCAATCACAGATCTGCCAAGAAACCATAGCTTTAGGGTGTGATTCTTACCAGCCAATAGAAGCAGACGAGACAGTCTGTGCTACCGATGGATCACACTACAACAACTTGTGAGTTCAAAACATTTTACATATTTATTTTTAAAACTGATACATTTATAAATTTATTTCAAACATACAGCCAATTTTGTTCATTTTTTTTCAAAGAACAACACGTGTCTCAAGACTTCAGTTCTAACAACCGCAACAAACAATGCCGCTTGTTTTTTTTTTTATGAATATCATATGCATCTTGCATTTTTTTTGCAGTTGTGAATTTAACATAGCAAAGTGTAGGAATCCTGCATTAGATATTGCCTCTCTTGGGCACTGTCCAGGTATTCAGCAGACGACAACTCAGACAGGAAGTAGTTCACCTTCTACCACACTAGACCCCTATCAACAGATATTCTGCGATAACAAGGATTCCGTGGCCTGTCCAACCACTGTAGACCACGTGTGTGCCAGTAACGGTGTCATCTACAAAAACAGGTAATACTAAAATTTTCCTTCTATTATCTTTTTCTATTGTTTTTAGCAGATTAGAATACAGGATATATTCCTGTCCTATGGAGGGATGAAGAAAATTGAAATTGGTTAACTTGTAAATAATCTGTTAACAGTTGTGAGTTTGCCAAAGCCAAGTGCAGTGATGGTAATTTAAGCAAGCAAAATAATTCCTTCTGTCATCATACCACCACCACCCCACAGCCCACCACCCTGGACCCCACTCAACAGTTATTCTGTGATAACAAAGATTTCATTGTATGTGGGGCCACAGGAAGTCACGTGTGTGCAAGCGATGGTGTCCTGTATAAGAATGAGTGAGTACATATCCCCATGAAATATAAAAACGAACAGTATTCAAACTCAAAAAACCATTCAGACAATACAAATCAGGAGCAGAGCAAACACGGACCTCTAAAACTTCAGAGATGGGATCAGGTGTCATGGAGGAGTCTGCATGCCTTGCAGACGGGTCACACCCGCCATGTGCTTCTTGTCATGTTCGGGAAAAATTTAATTTGTAAATATTCGCCTAACAATTGTTGTGAAAAAAAAAATCAGTCAGCATTTGACTTAAGAATAGCTTGTATCTGCTTAGTGACAAGGTCCCTGTACGGACCATAGAACTTGCGAAATGATGGCTTTCAACGAAACTATTTATATTCTTGCTTCATCATCCTGTTTCTCGAAAACTTCAGCCTTGCCTCCTTACGTCGCAGGTTCGAATCCCACTGTTGGACTAAAAACCAGTCCTTCGGTTGAGACTGTAGAACCTGAGGCCCTGTGTCGCTGTAAATGCTGGCACGAAAATGATCTCTCCTGAGTGTCGAGCATACGGACAAAATTTGCAGCTATCTCCGGCAAATGGTGGCGTCTCCATATGAGTGAACAATTCTCTAGAGGGACGTTAAATACCATACAATCAAACAAACAAATTAAATAACACAGAGTCTGCTCTTGCGTATCGAATCATCTGAGAGACATCAACTATATATGCAGGTGGTAAGGATATATTGCTATAAAGCATGGAAAGTTCACGACAGAAAAGTTGAAATTGAATAAGATCCAAATATGAAATAGTTGTGTCAGATTGTGAATATTTTTTTAAGTTCACTGGGATACAACGAATTAACATATTAATAAAAGTATCTATTGTTAATTGATGGTAAACTGTCGGTAAATCTAAATGTTCAGTTGAAAATCACAGCATGCGTTTCCTCGTGTACATGTTTTGAATTCTGCATGATATGAAGGCAAAAAAGCCTTTTACCAACAGAGTGCAATTGGTAAACAATAGATTGTTGGAAAACCTGATCACCAAATTCAAAAGAGATACTTTTAATAAGAAATTCAAAATATTTTTTATATCGACTTTGCTCTATGAAAAACGTGATAACTTTAACTTTTCAATCGTCAACTTCCCGTACTTATGCAGCGATCTACCTTAATCACCTGCATACGGAGTTTATAAATCTCAGTTGATTCGATACGCAAGAGCATGCTCTACGTATGAACAATTTCTAAAACAAAGTATTGACAAACATATTGATGGAAAAACTAAAATTTCAGCAGTTTTGATTAAAGGCATCATGGTCGGTACAATGACCTTGTCAGCAAATACAATTTATCATTGAGTCAAATGCTGACTGACGTTTTTCATACCAATTGTTAGTCATTTATTTATTCACTGGATTGACGATGGATTTTCCCGTTGTTTCCCGATCACGACAAGGAACACAAGGCGGATGTGACCGGTCGGCAGGGGATGCTCAATCCTCCATAGCACCTTATCTCACCTCCAATGACTTGGAGGTCGTGTTTGCTCCATGCTCCTTATATGTATTTTTTAATGGATTTTCGATCTTGAATACTGTTCCTTTTATCCACATGTTTCATTTGGAGTATACATGTACTTGTTTGTTTAATCAAAATGTTTTTAATGCTAAATAATTTTGTAATGACTTATGGCAAGGTAAGTAAATTTTCAAGTTCCATTCGTATTGGAAAAAGTAACTGTCTACGATGTTAAAAAAGCTTATAATGCTCAAAATAGCATTTACAGTGGAATTTCTCTTTCAGATGTGAGTTTGCGAAAGCAAAATGTAGCAACGGGGCCCTCACTATTCAGACTTCGTCGTTTTGTCATCATAAATTCTGACTGGAATAAACAAATTTTTCAAAACTTGCATTTACTTATTTAAAACAAAATAGGTTCTCTTTTGCTTTTTATAGAATTTGTAAGATACAAATTAACAGTTTTTCTAAAACAATTCGAAGCAATATAACAAAAAAAAAAAAAAAAAACAAAAAAAAAAAAACGAACAAATATATCCAAAAAAATTATGATGAAGTTTAATTTGGCAACGATCGATTATTCAGAAATAATGTTGTATAAATCATCAACTGCCCTTACTTATGCAGCAATATACCTTCATCACCTGCATACGGAGTATATATATCTCAGTTGATTCGATACGCAAGAGCATGCTCTACGTATGAACAATTTCTAAAACGAGGTAAATTATTGACAAGCAAGTTGATGAAACAAGAATATCAGCAGTCTCGTTTAAAGTCATCGTTTCGTAAGTTCTATGGTCGATACAATAATGTCAGCAAATACAGTTTATAATTGAATCAAATGCTGACTGACGTTTTTCATACCAATTGTTAATCCATTATTTATACACTGAATTGACGACGGATTTTTTTCTGTTATTTCCTGATCATGACAAGGAGCACACGGCTGGTGTGACCGGTCGGCAGGGGATGCTCACTCCTCCATGGTACCTGAATCCCACCTCTGATGTTTTGGAGGTCCGTGTTTGCTCTGCTCTTATTTTGTATTGTTTTATGGACTTTGAGATTGTATACTGTTCGTTATCTCCGTATCCTTCTTGTTGTTCATATTTCTGAGGGGGCTTTTGTGATATACCGTTCAGTTGTATGAAGGATATGGAGAGTAACAGTATTCAATATCAAAGTCCATAAAACAATACAAAATAGGAGCAGAGCAAACACGGACCTCCAGAACATCATAGGTGGGATCAGGTGCCATAGAGGAGTGGCTGATACTACATTGAATAACGTGGTTAGTGTTTTAATACTAGTATGGCCAACAGAAATCCTTTGAGGACTTTCTGTTTGGAGCAAAGATAATCTGAGATCGTAACATATAATCCAAATCTTCAGGGATGGAGAAATGGTAGGCGAATTTCTTAGACTTAGAATTTAATCTATTGATTGAATTCTTAGCCCTTGACACTAACTAACTGTGATCTATTTATCTCGGTGACAGCTGATATCTTATAAGTCAGTGTAACAGGATGATCTTCTTCAGTTTGTTATCTCTGGTGTCATGTAGCTCACCTGAACTGAAAATGAACTGTTCTCACTGAATGGAATCGTTGTTTATATGCATGTAAGATCTGGCCTATTTAGAATTTTTAATCTTGTCAGAGACCAGAAGAGCTTATGCGATAGTAATGTGTCCGTCGTCTGTCTGTCTGTCTATAAACAATTTTTCAAAATGCTACTTCTCTTACAGTTTTGGTCTGATTTCAATATAGCTTGGCACACAAGTAGACTTCACTGAGATACATAATTCTATTTATCTGTTTTTGATTTCGATGAACGGTGTTGCCATGGTTACTAAAAATAGAAATGTCTTTTAAATACATTCAAAATGCTACTCCAAATACAATTTTAGTCCGATTATAATATAATGTGACATGAAAGTAGACTACACTAAAATATTTTTTTTTTTTTTGATGAATGATCTTGCCATGGTTACTAAAATTGAAAAAATATGTAAAATATTATTAAAAGAGTACTGCTACATTTTTAATCTTCTTGTAATCTTTCCACAAAAAGAGACTAAATCATGAAGCATTCTTCTATTTATTGCTGTTAAGTTTCAGGTCCTACTACTACTACATGGCTACTTTTCTCTTTCTTTGTCATAAGTACAAACCGGTAGAGCTACAGAGACAGAGACTTCTGGTTTTGTTATGCCCTAGTGATTTTTTCATCCAGTTTGAATGTAGAACTGTAAGGGACTTGGATTGCTACGAAAGCCCAGAAGGCTCATTCGAGATTCGAGATTCAAAATACGAGATTCGAAATTCGAGATTCGAAATACGAAGATTCAAGATTAACCAATCAAAAGCGTAACATTTGATTACTCCCCTTTATTATGTTTTTACTATCAAGAAATCGTTTAAAATAATTATAACCAATTGGTCATTTGATTAAATTACAATGCAAAAAAGAGTGTTTTATGTATATTAGAAGGAAATTTAAATAATTATTGGATTTTTGCAGCAAGATATACTTCAATTTATATTATAGCTTCTTAAATATTAAATAGATTACATATATCAGGAGTATATATATTTTTGTATTATCTTCTACACTTATTAGTATTTCCGCGCATAGGAAAACCACAGGTACTTGTGGAGAGGACCCTCCCCCCCCCCCCCCCCATCGATATTCAATACCAGGGCTTACTGGGCAATTTTTTTTAACAAATTATATTTATTACACTTATCAATGTGTACAATACGAAAACATCACGGGCTAAAACCCCCAGAATAATCGTTTAACCAAAAAAAAAAAAAAAACCATTATATATTACCCCACCCCACTATACAAGAGAGGTGTCGTTTAAGGAGAAAATATGGGATTATTACGAGATGCAGAGTCAATCTGATAGCATGGAATGTAGAGACAGTTAATTTTAATCAACATATTAAGTTAAAATAAATGCATGGTTTTAAACCTAGAAATAGCAGCGGGCGTACAACGTAAACAAACTGGAGTGCACGTGGCATATTTTCTCTTTTATAATGTATAGTGGGGTATTTTTTGTGTTGAGCGATTATTCTGGGTTTTTACGATTTTTTTTTTGGCATTGAACACACGATGAATAAGTGTATTAGATATATGTTGTGAAAAAAGTCCAATAAGCCCTGGGGTTGAATATCGAGAGGGGGGGGGATGCCCTGTCCACAAGTACATTTGGTTTTCCTAAGCGGGAAAATACATAAAAATTAAGTTTAGAAGACAATACAAATAAGTATATATACTCATGGTATAAGTAATTTTTTTAATATTTAAGAAGCTATAATATAGATTGAAGTATATTTTTCTGATCAAAAACCCAATAATTATTAAAATTTCCTTCTAATATATATAACACTCTTTCTTGCATTGTAATATAATTAAATGACCCACTTGTTATAATTATTTTAAACGATTTCTTCATAGTAAAAACATAATAAAGGGGAGTAATCAAATGTTGAACCCGCTTTTGATTGGCTAGTTTGGATCTTGAATTTCGAATCTCGAATTTCGAATCTCGTACTTTGAAACTCGCTTCTGATTGGTTAGTTTGGATCTTGAATCTCGAAACTCGAATTTCGAATCTCGAATTTCGAATCTCGTACTTTGAAACTCGAATCTCGAATGAGCCTTCTGGGCTTTCGTAGATTGCCCCCTTTTAATAATTTTAACGATCTATAAAAACGTATATTCTATAGAACCATAGTTATTCTATGTCTGCAACTCACTTCCCCTTCCCATCAAAAGGGAGTTAAACAATATACAATCAATCAATCAATCAATCAATCAATCAATCACTTCCACTTCCCACAATAACATCTGGTGAAATTTCCACCCTTTTAGGAGTTTATGCTTGGTTCCCCCACCAACTGAATATTTTAAATTAAAAACGTTTGATAGCCCCTCTCTCCGACTTAAATTGCTCTCTACAGTCGTGATTCGTCATAAAGATAAATCACGTATGCATCAGTAGATTTGTGAAATATCCGTATATTTCAATTTTCAGGCTGTACTTCAATTACAAATACAAAATAATATGTATAAAATGGACTAGAGAATTAGCAAATCGATGAAAAAAGTGGGCAGCTAGTCCCCGCCTCCCTGTGATATTGCATGCCTCTACAACCAAATGAGGATATAACATACCGACTTAGATACGGTTATATATTATACAATTATGGACTCTTTTGTGTTGAATATGATTTGTTATTCACCAGAAAAATATTCTTATTGACCGAGGCGAAGAAAAAATTGCAGAAAAAAATTACATAACCGCGGGTTATGTATTTTTTCTGCAACAGCTGCGACATTCATTTCCGTACTAACAACCAAAGAGAGCATTTTATTGTTTAAATTAATCACAACATATATTAAAAGTTAATATATAGTTTGTTTATGATAGTTTATGTTATATGTTAGGTATGTTCCAATTGTGTTACAAGGAGTATACTAGTATTTGACAACAATTGTGGTTTAAGACCTTGCAGCATTCGATAACATTCTGATTTTATCTTACTGGACCTTTGAGGGCATTTCTACTCACAATAGGATTTTTTGACACAATAAACACTCGTATGGCAGCTGTGCTTATAACGAAGGTTAAAGTTTGTCAAATGCAAGTTAAACATAGGTCAATGTCGAGAGATCACCATTTGTTCAAAAGATAAAGTCAAAGTTAAATTTTGACATTTTATGCGAAAGGGACAACGTTAAATACGTTGTCTTGTCACGTAGAATACACACACGAAAGCCGAAGTTTCGAATAAAATTAAAGTTTCTGCAGAGAACATCTTAACAAACAGACAGACGGAAGGACAGGGCAAAAACGATATTCCCTAGAATTTCAATATTGAGGGCAAATAAAAAAGAAGAAATTAAAATCCATTCAATAAATGAATTAGTAAAGAAACGGAAGACAGGAAAAAGGAAATAACGAATTGTAAATAACGAATTGACTGAGTTGATGTTTCAGGGGTGCCTGGTGAGGAAGGTTTTGACCAGTAGAGGTTGTTTTGGGAGTGAAGGAGGTACTGAACAGAATTTGAAGCTTTCTGCTTCCTACTTAGTACAAGTACAAACGTTCATCGCATTTCAATTTGCAGCCTATAATCATTGAATCCTGAAGATACTAAAACATCAATCTTTATAAACTGCTTTCTCTGTTGTAACAGAAAGTGATCAGATTTAAGTAGTTACACGGCTGGGTTGATATTTCCCAATACACTGTTTTTATTGTAGATCCATGAACAACTGTATACAGTCCGCGAATAATCCTTTGTTTTGTTACCCAATGAAATCTGTGATAGATGCAAACGACCGCCTGGTATAAGAGTATTGTCACAT